CTGAACAGTTAACATTAATAGGTAGAAATATTCAATTTTAAAATACATAAATATAAGAAGAAATTTTAGCATAATTGATAAACTTTTAAAATTTGTTTGAATGATAACCCTCCAGGATACTTTCACAAAACAGATAACATACTTATAGGTCTCAAACAGAATAAAATTTTTCCTATCAATGCCAGAAAACCATTAAATTCATTATCAAAAACAAGTAAAAAACCTACACATTCAGGTCTCAGGTCTCAGAGAATCATATTACTAGAATGTAGATTCACTTAAAGTGAATTTTCAGCTTTGAAGCTCTGATGTAGTGGAAATATTTTTATTTTGGTCCCACTGACTTTACCGTAATTCTCTCAAAGGATAGCTGGATGAGTCAAATGAAATAATGTAAACATAAGACAAAATCAGCCTTTACCCCTCATTTGTGTAAATCTCTAAATAAGAAAATTATGCAAACTTTTATACTTGTAATATTAAGAGGCATTAATCCAAAAATTTAAAAGAATATATTAGGACAATTTGTATACAGTTAACACGTATTGTTATTTGAGTGACAAAATAAAAAGTCAAGGAAATCTAATTCTAAACATTCTAGAGAATTCAAAGGCCCATAATATAGAATATATCAGTGCAAGTAACTAAACCACATTTCTTAACAGATGGCCGGACACAGCACAATAGTAAATAGAAAGTATAAAATCCAAAAATAAGGTCCTTCTATTGTAATTACTTTAAAGTAAAAAATGTCAAAACTATTATGAAAGAGATATAAAGACCTCAAACAGAATACCTGCATGATGAGAAAGTGAGGGTTGTTAACATTAAGGCCAACAGAACAGAAGAGATCCTGTACTCTGGTGTTGTTGGCATTTACTCCATTGATTAAATATTTATTTCTACCACCAATAACCACCTAAAAAAGAAGCAATATTTTAAATATTAGTTTACATGCACACCTTGGGCTGTGATACATTACTAAGTATATTAGCTTACATTTATTTGTTCTGTCCGACTAGCAGTAAACAAAACAATTCTGCGTAGTCCAACAAGTATGACATGGCCAAATCACTGAGTCAGGACAACCAGTGTCTAATGCAAGTACTTCTGCTAATGAGTTATGTAATTACACACAAGCCTTTTACTCTGCACCGGACTCGGTCTTTCAGGTTACTTCTAGCTTTATGTTTCCAAGTATATGTAAAACATACTTTCCTTTCCTAGTTACCTTCTTTTGTTATTTTTCTACAGAGGATAACTTTCTCTACTTTATAATGGGAATAGAAGTCAAAGTAGCTTGACATTAACTCGTAACAAGATTCAAAAAGCTATTAATAAAGAGATGATTTGTGTCTACTTAAAAGAAAGGGTAATCATGGGGCTTCAGTATGGTTTCATTAAGTCGTGCCAGACACCATACTCTGCTGTCACACTTAAAATTGTCATTTATTGGGTATGACCATCTCATTTACCAGATCGAGGTCCTTAAAGACAAGCTCTGTTTTTCATTCTTCTAACTGTGCATTCCAGTACATTCAAGAACACCCAATGTACATCAAGCAATTAATTAATATTGAATAAATGTTAGTTCATTTCTTTTCCTTACAGGATTACTATATTGGTAGTCCATATATTAACGTATTTGAAGAGACTTCTCTGACAAGAACTTTAAGACAAAACTTTGGTGAAAATACAGGTTTATGGCCTGAATGAGGACAGGAACAATTAGGTGAATTAGTACGAGACTTAGTGACAATTCCTAGAGGGTAAATATTTGATGGATGCCTACTGGCATAGATCATTCCCAACCTAGTCAACCCCCCCCTTTTTTTTAACCAGAGGTGTTCATTAAAATAGAGGAGAAAATCTGTAAGTAACATAATGCAAAGATGGACAGTATATGGGAGCTGACAACATTTAAAACCTTGACAAGCTGAAAACACTGCCTGACTATATTAATAAGACACCTAAAAAAAATTTAGTGGTTTCAAGTAAATCTAATATGAATCCACAATGTATTATCAACACTCCAATGCTCTATGGGAAAAATAAAAGTAGAATATCTAAAATGAAATAATAACTCTAACTAGACCAATTCCGATACACTCAATCTAAGGTGCCATTAAAAGAAATAGAAAGACAGATAAATGGAGGGCAGGGAAGTAAACTGGAGCATATTTGGTATAATTAGGCAAGTGAAGGAACTAGAAAAAGACCTGGCGAGATTTCACTTAGAACTGAAATTCGTATACTTGCAGATCACTTAAACACTGAAACAGGGAATAAGTTAGATTTGCTCTTGGTGCTCTCAAGAGGACAAGGATCAATGTATAAAACTTTAAGACAGCAGACTATGACAAAATTTATAGGAATAACTTTCTAATAAGACCTATCCAAAAACAGAATGGGTTATCTCAGAAGATTTCAAGATCTCAGGTACGCAGGTGTTCAAGAACAGCCAGAGAAGATTCAAGTATGGTTTAAGATTTCAGCATAGCTGAGTGCTTATATTGAATGAATAACTTTTCAGCTCTCTTTCAATCCTCTTAGTGATAGAATGTCCATGATCAAAATTTTAATATAAGGAAAATATTCTTAAGGAATCCAGTCAGAATTTAATGCACCGATTTTGCACATGAACTTCCTCTAGCACTTTATGCAAAGGCACAGGCCAAAAACCACATCAGACATAAAACTTCTTAAGATACCCAAATGTTTAATTGCCACTCACCTGCCTTGTTACTGTGATTTCATCATGAACCTCAAATCCTAAAGGACTTTGCTTTTTGTCAGAATTATCAAAAGTAATTGACACTGAGGCCTTGGTAATACCAGCCTGCCCATTTTTGTAAACTAAATCTTGTAAATTAGAAGCCCGAACCTAAAATAAAGGATAAAAAGTATATCAATTACAAAATTTCTTACATACAGAGCAGCACTAAAAATGGATTCCTTGCTGTTGGAAAACCCACCAATATTGTGTCCATTAAGTAGACAAGGATAGGCAGCTGCATCCTCTGACAGGTAAAACAAGGAAAAGAGGCAACAAACTGCAGTGGACATTTTTCTCTACAGAACCCTTTCAATTCTGAATTGTTTCCTATTCGTTTTTTGACAAAAAGTTACTTTGTAAGATATAAAGACAGTGCCCATGATTTTCACTAGTCATCCAATCCATGAATAGGATTTGGAAAGGCATCATTCATTACACAGGGGTGAAAATACTCTGGAATGAGACCACTTTGAAATAAGAATGCCTGAGTTTTGAGACACTTACTTCTAAACATCTTAAAAGGATAAACCTTAGGCAACCTCTCTTAGTGTCTATTTTCTTATCTAAAGGAGTAATATTAATTTCCATAAAAGGTTGCAGTGAGGTGTAATTTACAAAATGTATAAAAACACAAATGAAGAGAATATTGGTAAATCTCCGAAGTTCAGTAAGAATTCTCCTGCCAAACTTAAAATTCACACAAATGAGAAAGTTTACACTTTACCTGAGACAGGTTGGAGATGCCCAGCAGAAAGCAGATGGAGTCCAATATGTTGGATTTCCCACTACCATTTAAACCAGTGATAGCATTGAAGAGGGGGTCAAAACCATTGACTTCTGTCCTCTGAGCATAGGACTTGAATCCCTCTAGAACAATTGACTTAATATGCATTTTCGATACTGTCTTGCGTCAGCAAACCTCTGACAGGCATCAAACAGGCCACAAACCAGTTCTGTAGTAAACAGAAATAACACCATCTAAGAGGAATGTAAACCTAGAATCAAAATGAACACGAGAGGCAAAAACAGGAATAAGAGGGCGATAGAAATAAAACAGCCACTTGACAAACTATCTCGTCGGATGTAGGCATCTTTCATTTACTCAAAAATATACCAGTTAGCCACTGTCTGAAAATTAAACCATTCAACTGGGAAGTCTTAACTATTTCTCCTACCTGTTTTTTCAGGTTTACCTTCTATTTTTACCATACTCTAGCTAGCAAAGACTACGGATTATTTCATATCCCATTCTCTTTGCCCATAACGTGCTTTTCTTTGATACTGGCATAGCTTATTCTCTACTGCACTCACGTCTTTGCTCAAATGTCACCTTACTGGAGTCCTTCCGGACATCCCTATGTCACCTCTCCACATTCCTTCACTCGGCTTTTTCCTTCATAGTACTTAAAGCTGATATTAGACGGCCATTATCTGTCTATAAGTTCCTGTAGGATCTTCACCTACGTCCGTCATGGCATCCCCGAATTGTGCTTGATCGCGGGAGGAGCGGAAGTCATTTACGTATTTACTAGAGAGATGAGATGTATCTCATATTCTCCAACTTCTAGCTTTTACTCAGGCTGTTATCTAGCTTCTCCAGGCCTGTCTACACCTCTCTGCCCTACTCAAAGGCCGAATAGGAACTAAACTTTATTCCTTTGGTCACCTGAGGTCCCTCTTTGCTACTAGTCGTCCTCCCCGCAGCCCCCGCAGCCCCCGCTTCCCGCCTCCCGCCAGGAAGCCTGACCGGGCCCAGCCGGCCGCGCTCAGGTAGACGCCTCACCGCTGCCTCAGGCCAGGGTTTGACGCACTCCAAAAGCTCCTCCGGTTCACAAAGGAGGGGAGCAGGCCGATTCTCTAGCCGCGGCTGCTACGAAGCGAATTTCACCATAGCGGCTACAATCCCCGCCAGTCCGCTCTCAACACCCGCGCCGGAACTATTTATTCCTTTGAATTTCGGCGCGAGCAAAGGACCCCACCCCCATTGCTTATTTCCTGTGCTGGTGCCTAGGAGCTGCCTGTCTTTAGGGTTCTATTTTTCTCCTGCACTCGAAGGATTAAAGCCGTAGGGCAATAGGCAAGAGAGTCTCGATAATGGCAACTCCAAGGACCCTGCGGCGCGGGCCTAGACACTACAGGAGCTGGTGGTATATGTTCACACCGGCGTCCGGCACTCTATAGTCAGCCCCAGACCTCGGCTCGGGGCCTTAGCGCTTCGCCAGCCCCCGCCTCCCCGGGCCCTCCGGTGAGCCCGCGGAGCCCTGTAGACTCCGCCTTCTCGAGGGCTCGGCGTTGCTAGCTGCGGCGAACTTCTTTCCCCCCAAAGCGAGAGTCAGGAAGTAGAAAGGCTTCCTCTGAGTGTTCTCGTCGGTTCTGTTTTGGAAGCCTCAGAATCTTCTGGGTACTCAGATTGCTGCAAAGTACAAGCTGTACTTCGTTGGGCCCGGAGAGGCACCGGCTTTTGGAGGACTCTGGCTCGCTTCCGGGCTCCGCCCCGTGCTGGCTGCGGACCTGGCAGAAGAGCCTTTTTATCTAAGTGTCCATGTCTGGAAGGGACAGTAGTCTACCTAGAGCTGTTCTGAGCCCAGAGTAGAAATTGTGTGGTGCTAAATAGCTGTTCACCTTCCTTACACTGGAAAGCGGTGTAATGATTAACCGACCCAACCTGTCGAGAATATTTCCGGAAATCTTTTAAGAGAGGTTACGTTTATTGATTTCTGAGTATTAGGCAATGTTCCAAAAGCTTTTAAAATCCTAGTAGCAACCCTATGAAATCGGAAATTACCCTCGTTTTACAAGTGAGTAAAATGAGTCCAAATAAAGGCTAAGCAGCCTGTCTAGTAAGCTGGGATTTGTTCCCAGGCGGTCTGGCCCCAGATTGCATGCTTTTAAATACCTGTAGGCTTCATGCATAGAATCTAGTACTATTAATAATAGACCCTGTTAATTGGTACGTATGGTTCTTTAGGAAGAAAAAAGGTGTCAGGATTACTCACGCTTCCAAGCACGTTGATACTAAACAGGGAGAACTTAACACTGGAATGGGTATGGTGTTATCCTAGGTGAGGTAACAAAAAGATGGAGCGGGCAACAGTGCTATTTGGGGATGGCTTGATCCTTTAGGGCTTCCATAACAAAATATAGACTGGGCAGCTTATGAACCACAGAAATCACATTTCTGGTGGCTGGAAAGTCCAAGAGCAAGGTGTATGTTTAGTGGATAGCACCTTCTGCCTCTGTCCTAACATGATGGAGAGGGTAGAGGGGGCTCCCTTGGGCCTGTTCTATAAGGACCTTAATCCCCTTCCTCACTTTCCAAGAGTCCATATACTAAAACCATCAGTTTGGGGGTTAGGATTTCAAAATGTGAATTTTGAGGGACACATCTAGACCACAGCATCTGGCATGTTTTTAAAGTTGCTTTCTTGGCCCTGGAATAGCCAAGAAATGCATTCAGTTGAGATGAGTGCAGTCATCTCAACTGGTATTAACCTACCAGGAATGTACCTATATTTTGAAAATATTTCTCTTTAAGGGAGTAAAATAAGTTTTAAGTGTTTTTTTTTAAGAAAAGATTTATTTATTTGATACGCTTACCCACTTCTGTGATGTCAACCATGCTTAATTCATGCTAACATCAATGAAGCAGATCTCTTTATGTACCTTGATTCCTGCATCCCCTAGGTTCCACAGCTATTCACTTGTACTATTCTGTTAACTCTTACACGTTTACTTTCACTTGTACTAATTCTGTTAACTCTTACATGTTTACTTTCAGCTGTGTCTCCTTCCTTTTATGATTTTGTGAGTAAAGAATTTTAATTTGCCAGCCAGGCACGGTGGCTCAGTCCTGTAATCCCAGCACTTTGGAGGCCAAGGCCGGCAGATCACCTGAGGTTGGGAGTTCGAGACCAGCCTAGCCAACATGGAGAAACCCTGTCTCTACTAAAAATACAAAATTAGCTGGGCATGGTGACACATACCTATAATCCCAGCTACTCGGAGGGCTGAGGCCGAAGAATCAGTTGAACCTGGGAGTTGGAAGTTGCAGGTGAGCCAAGATTGCACCACTGCACTCCAGCCTGGGCAACAAGAAGGAAACTCCATCTCAAAAAAAAAGAATTTTAATTTTCCAACAGATCCTAATGTGGACTTTTTCAAGTTGTGAAATAAAGTGATTTTTGGTATGAAAATGTGTGTTAAGACAAACTGTTGGTCTGGGCACTTTAACAACTAGCTGATACACTTATGTCAAATGGATGAAAATATATATACAAATGCACTTTTGTTGGATAAGGACTTTGGGGTGGTTATAAGAATGTGTAAGTCTACTCCCATTAAGACTATCGATTAAAATGAAAAATGTTTATAAAGGCAGAGATCTCTATCAGTTTAGGACTTGAGGAAATCACTGATGACTAAATTGCAAACCTGCCTCCTGAGATCACCACGGGTGAGTGGAAACGACTAAGGCACAAAGCCAATAAAGCGCCCTGATTTGGAGATGTGAGGTAGAAAGAGTATAGGGTAGATGCAGTAAAAATAAAACACTGTTCTTGCTTCATCACTGTGGATTTAAATTGTTTAAAAGCTTCAACACTAGCAGGCAGTGTTTCAAGCAGAAATCTGGCAGCTGGGGGAGTTGAGTCCTTATATAGAAGGCATCTGTACCAGCAAGGACACACATACAGCCATAAAGCAGGACCTAGGAGAGAGATTTGGTCCTCTACTCTCCTAGGGAACTGGGTGGAACCTGCTCTTTCTTGGGTATGCTTTTCTAATTTTAGAGTGCTAAAGAAGCTCTTCTCACAGGGACCTAAGTGAATCCTTTCTCCTTAGGACAAAGGACAGAAGGAAAAAAAGAAAGGACTTAACACAGAAATAAGGAAGGTTCATTTTGTTGAGAGATTATTTTTAGGCTCAAGGGAATGAATTGATAATGACAGTAAATTTATATTTTTACATTGTATTGACTAGCAGCACTTGTTTTGTTAGAGACAGAGTCTCAGTGTGTCTCAGGCTGGAGGGCAGTTGCCTAGCAGCACTTTTTAAAGACAGTCATGCACCACATAACATTTCAATATCCAACTACATTATATGACTGTGGTCCCCTAAGACTATAATGGAGCTGAAAAATCCCTATTGCTTAGTAATGTTTTAACATCACAGTGCAACATACTATCTTTTCTATGTTTAGATACGTTTAGAAGCACACAAACAACATTGTATTACAGTTACTACAGTAACTGAATACTACAGTATTCAGTATAGTAACATGCTATAAAAGTTTGTAGTCTAGGATCATAAGGCTATGCTATCTAGTTTTGTGTAAGTATACTTTATGATGTTTGCACAACAATGAAATTGCCTAATGGGGCATTTCTCAGAACGTATCTCGTCGTTAGGCAATGCATGACTGTATTTTATTTCTAACGCCATGTTACTTGAACTGTGGTTCACCAAATATAATCTGTTTGACAAACCTGGGAAGAAACACAGCTAAGCGTAATTTTAAATGAGGAGGAGAAAAGGAGGTTATTCATTCACTAGTAGGATCTGGTTAGACTCACTCATTTTAATTTCAATGACAATATTGTTTTCAAAACTACATGTTCAGTTCTTTGTGAAATCTGCCTATTCTTTCATTATGATTTCTATTATTTTACCCTTTTAATTAAGTTATATTTCTTTATTTTATCTTCTTTTCTAGTAGTTCTGTTATTTTTAGCTTTTGAGTTTCTAACTCTCGTTTACAACCTCCACTGACTCTTATTCAGTGATTTATTTCCTCGCGTGGTGCTCTTCTTCAGTGGGGTTGTTTTGTTTATGGGACTCTCTTATGCCCTTAGTTGCAAGAGTCCCTTTAGAGCAATTATGCATTTGCTTCTGCCGGCATACTGTAGCTTTTAAAGATCCTGAAGCATTTTCACATGATAATTTCTCAGTTTGTGGCTCCTGAATTATGTAAATATTATAAATTTAGATCTGTTGCAGGGCTGCAGTTTTGGTTTCTCGTAAGTACCTTATATTTTTTTGTCCCTATTCAAAGCTCCAAAGAACAAATTTTTCATTGCTTCCCCAGACTAGTAGATTGCCTTTTTCCACTTCCAGTGACTGGCGATTCCTAAGGCTCTAGATGTTACCTAGAGACTTGGTTCCAACTCACCCCCTTTATCAAAGCTCAGCCTTGTGATTGGACATTAAAACCCAACTACTGGCTCCTGAGGCATGTAGCCAAGTGTAAAATTTTGGAGGACTACCACAGTATCAGTTCTGCTTTCTGCTCTTCAATTTTTAAATTTTATTTTGGACACTGAGAATTTTGTTTTTTGTTTTCAAGGTTGTATATGGTTTCTATAACAATAATTATATTTTATCCATTATTTCTATAAGTTTATAAAGGAAAGCTCAGTTGACCATGTTGGAGGAGATCTTCTCTTTTCCTTTTCATGAAAAACATCAGTGATCTTTGTTTTGCTCCACCTGAGCCTTGCTTCCAGAGCTCACATTCTATATTCAAAGTCACTATTCCTAAAAACCAGTTATCACTTCTCTAAAGAAGTCTGGTATTAGCTCTTAAGGAAGTATTTTCATGTACTACTCATAAAATGAGTTATATTCTTACTTGTTTCATATTTGTTTATTTCTGTTTTTCCAACTGTTGTTGGCTTTTATCACTTGCATGCTGGTTTATAGCCAGAGCTACTTATCTCGCCTCTCTTCTGCTTTGTCATCATACCCCTTCTTTTATGGGGACAATCATTTGCCTCTCTTCCTCAATTCTTCTCTTCCTCTTATTCTCATTTCATAGTTCTCCTTGTCATGGTGGTCTCATGTTACTTTTTATTTCAGATCCATACACATCTGCGTGATCCTCCTCCAACTGGTTTCTTTTTATTACCAAACTCAATTCTTACTAGATCCAAAGAGACTCTTCACTTTAAGATTTTTTGTTTTACAAGATCTGCTTCTGCAGTTAACGTCTCCTCTACCTCTTACGCCACTCTGCAGTACTCTACAGTCAACAAATATATTCTAACTTAATTTCCTACTTCAACAAGACTCTGCCTACTCTAAAGTTTTACAAAATATATGTGTTTCTATATAAAAATGATATCTCTCCTCTCTCTATAAACCTTTGGTGAAGATTATACACAAAGTTAATTCTGACCTCTTTAAGGTGGCATGTTTGACCTTTCATTGTCTGTTTCCAACCTACTTTCTCAAATTCATCTGCTGTTTTCTTCCTTAGAAGAAAGATTAGATTAGATTAAGGTAATAAGGTAAAAAATTAGATTAGATTAAATTAAGGTAATCCTTAGATTACCATGTCTTTTTTTTTCTAACTGCTATAAATTTATGCACCAATCAATAACAAAGAAAGTGCTCACTGACTTTGTTGGTGGATGGATGAATCAACGGATTCAATAAGTGTTTATAGGATGGCTACATTGTGCCAACAATTGTGTTATGTGCTGGGATACAAAGACGAATAAGATGTGTACCTGTCTCTAAGGAATCCATAGTTGAATGGAGAAGACTTGTGTAAAGACATTAACCAGGAGAAATGAAGAGTGAAAGGCAATCATCTAAATAGAGTAAATTGCACAGGCAATGGCACAGAAGATAAACATAATGTATGAATCAAGAAGAAGCAAGATTTAATGTAAGAGATCCACAGAAGGCAGGTTATGGAGCATTGTATGCACCATCTTAACTTTAACTTTGCATCATTCCTAAAGCATTCATGTTCTCCCTTTGCACATGCCCAACTCGAAATGTCCTTCACTCTTCACTTCTCTCACTTGTGTATTTCTACATGTTTTTCCATCTCAAATCTGATCCATTTCTGTAGTTACTTACAATGTCTTCTGTAATCCCTTAACCCTTTAGCCACACTTTTCTTCTGACCTCTATTCCCATTGTGATATACCTTCATGATACATCTTGGTGCCTGTCACATAGTCAATTCTTAAAAAATATTGGTTGAATATGAACAAGTTCAGGGGGTTCACTTGCTGCTCCCTCATTAAGGTAAAAGGAGATAATAGTTTAAAAAATACTTGAAAATATACAATATATTTCACAAAATAGTATTTTAAAGTTCAGTGAGTTCATTGTAGCGATCATTTCTCAGTGATCTAATATTGAAAACTTAAAAAATAACCTATTAGCAACATGTTCTATTTTGTAGTATCATCAGTGACCACTGTGATAATAGGGTGAAGAATGCAACATGAAATGTTTATTGCAGCTGTATGCTTCAGAGGGCTCTCGGCACCATATTCTTTTCCTCTGGTTTCACTTTTTTTTTTTTTGCCTATAAGTAAAAACATGCTTCTATGCTTTACAAACAGCTGCAGTTTCAGGTTGAAAGAATCTAATTCAGATACCACTTTCTTTGTTGCTGTCGAGATATAATTACCAACCCTCCTTTGTATTATCTTATTAATTACACAGACTCCTGTTACATGTATTTATTTATATGTTTGCCTCCCACTGTGAACACCTTGATGTCAGTGGACTTGCCTTGTAACTATCTGTAAACTCAGCATCCATCTAAATCTGGACACAGTTGTGCTCCATAAGTGGTAAATGAATGGATAAGCAACTACATGAACATACAAAGATTATAAAGATGGTCATTCTCTCCAAATCAGAAACTGTTTTCCAGATTTTTCAGATGAAAGTTTGTTGCTGTTGTTTTGTTATTTTTTACCCATAATTAAAACCGTAATTACCTGCATACTCCATCAAACATTAGTGTGCATAGAAACTCAGGAATTACTTGATCTCTATCTCCCCTTTCGCATGCTGGTTTTATCTCAAAACACTGACTTCCACTCCCGCCTCTGTCTCATTATCGGTAGGTGGAAAATGGGGATGAATTCATAGACTTCTGTGCATTCTGTTTTGGTCTTCCCACTCCCTATAGCCCATTCTCCCCAAACTCCATCTCCACCCATAAGAGTGTAGTTTTGTGCTTCGGTTCCTGAGGGTCTTCAGGCCATGATGATAATGTATGGCATCAAGACATTTCTGAGAATTAAGAGGATATGTTTTTAAATAATAGTATTTGTAGGAAATCCACAGTGGAGTTCAGGTGAGACTTCAGCAATCCGAATCATGTTCTCTTTATGTCCCTTGTTAATAGATAATGAAGATCATGTCTCTGTCTTTTCTGCCATTGCCA